AGAATTTTCTCCCCAACATGAAGAGGCATCAGTGTGTTTCTCTGTAATCTGTGAAGACGTTTTCACACTGGCTTCAGGAGCTGAGTGCCAGTTCTTGCATGGCTGCAGTGGGAGATTTTTCAGACCCACTGCTGAAGACCAGAACTTTACTCTGAAGTAATGAAATTTGGATAAAAGCAGAAACCAGTTAACACAGAAAAGCTACTTGACACTGACTAACTACTACTAACAACACGAACTGGGCCTTTTGGCAGGCAGTGACACTAAAGCAGCATAAATAACTTTCATTAGATCTTGCAGTTCTAGGTCTTACTTTGTTGGGTTTTAAAGTTAAAGGTCTAATTTTTATGATGTTTCATGTTCAATCTTTCATGTCCCTAGAAGGAAGATAATTTTTTCCAGGAAAAATTGTCTGCAATGATTCCCCAGCTAGCAGGAAAACAGCTATTATTAACATCTACAGCATCCTTTGCTCTGAAACCTGAGCTCCTTTGTCCTAATTAGAGGAGTGTGTTGATTGCATCCACCTGTTATAGAGAGTGACACTGAACCAAGACCTCAGCTGAACCTGAAGCTTATTTCTGTGGCAAAGAGGATTTTGCTATAAAGCACAACTTTCGCATCTTAGTAATCTATTTTGACTTGCCTTTTTAAAAAAAAAAAATCAATGGAGTTGTGCGACACTGGGTGGAGCTAAACTCAAACATCACCCCTTCTCCTGTTTATATGGACTAAATATAATGCAACCCACGTATTCTTATGGGCACTCCCTCTTTAGTGATTCGTTTTAACCCCATCTTGCCCCATCTTTGGTAGATATATATGTGAATGTATATGGTTGATTGTTTTTATTTTTTTAGACTCTATTCCAATCGTGTCTACAAGGATGAAGAACAGAAGCCAAAAATGTGTCTATGAAACTATCAAAGTTGTGCTGTTGGAAACTTTCACTCACTTTATTTCTCCGTGCATGAATGTTGTGCCAGAAGCTTCCACTCTTTTAAGCAACAATATCACGGTGGGCAGAATTTGCCTGCAGTGTCCGTCAGTCACTGCTGATTTCTTTGTATAGCCCCATCCCAAAATGCTTCCAACAATTTCGTGGTGTCATTCTGCTGCCAGGCTTTTGGCAAGGGCACTTATCTTCATTTGTTTTTGGTTCAAATGAATGGAACTGGGTTTAGATTGGGCACAGGCACTGCATGAGTGAGGAAGCGATATCTGAGACTTGACGCTCGGCCTATCAAAGAGCTCCCTTCAACTTTCCAGTCCTTAGAGAAGTCATGAAGGCGATGCGTGTGGAAGTCACTCATCATAGCTGGTGGTGTAGCTGCAAGCTCAAATGGCGTTTGAGTGGCAAACTGTTGGAGCAGAAGCGATGAAATGAAACTTGGTCACATGAGAGCGTTTGCACTTGTGCAGTCTGTATTAATAGTTCTGGTTGGGGTGCTGGTGGCCACAAGTCAAAGTGCAGGACTTTGTGTCAGGGAAGTTACAACATAGACAGTTTTCTAGCAGTGCAAACGTGATGGGTCTTGTTCAAAATGATCAGGATCTTTCTGTGTGTTTACATATATACAGCTGTTTATTTTGAATATAGCCTGAATTTACTGGATTTGATAGAAATCCCCAAACTACCACCTGAACTGTTGAATGGATCCATTTTTGGATTTCAAAGGAACGTTTAACCAGCCATAGCTATGCAGAATAACTCTCACATGTGGGGTCTAGGGCAATTTAATGCTGGCATGGGGAGACAGAATATGTGCTATCATAAAAGAGCTATTAATGTTTTCGAATTGATCTATAAGAGTAGCTGTGTGTATGACTGAGGCATACTTCCATGTAACAAGCAGTCTGCTCCAGTAGATTTACATGGCTCTTGGGTTAAAGCCCTAAAAGTACCAGTTTCACTGAACCATAATTGGTTCTTGAAACAACAACTCTGACCATGTTTCCAGCTAATTCATCATTCAATCTTATAACAACAAGTCAAAAAGACACTTTCAGGCAGTTGGTGGCAGTGTGACGTGTAAAGCTTATGAGGCTTCAGTCCTTTAAGACCTTTACTGTTCTTCCCTTAAGGCATCTGGTCTGACTTTTACCAAACAAAAGGTAAAATAAACTGAAGTTTATTTATTTAACAGAAGTATTCACACAACTAGAAATTAGCAAATATTCCTCTGACACTGACACTAAAGAGAATTTTTCTAAACAACACACAGAAAGTCATTCAGTAAAAACGACTCTCTGTATTTAAAACCTCAACGTTAGGATTTGGCCATGGCTGTATGTTTTCAGAGCCAAACATAGCCATATTTGCACGAGAGGCTGGAGTATTATATTAGCAGGTAACAAGCTAGCTTGGTTAGTAAGCTGCATTCATAAACTGAACGTATGCAAAGCAGACGTGCAGATCTGATAATTGGTGCTAATAAAATCAAGGTTCACTCAGCAAAAATTAAACACAGAAGCTGCTTCTCACATAATTGCATCAAAAAAGCCCAAAAAGCACAGACATGACCGAGAGGCTCAGTTCAGGGATTTGAACTAGCAGAGGTGAGGCCTCCCAGATGTCAATCAGCTGCAGCTACCCGTCACACCTGTAACTCCTTTTCAGGAAGTGTCATACATGTGCATGTCTTCATGGGTGCATGCACATACAAGTTGCACTTGTCTGTGCAGCGACCTTTAAAAAAAATGTTCCTTTTCATCTTTTTTGGGTAAAAAAGTACCTGTGCTTTTCATGCTTTAAGACAAGACCCCAGAGGCTGTAGGGCTTAGTGCCTGATCCTGCTGATGCACTGTTTGTGTATAAGAGGAATGCACAAACTGTTTGTGTGTTTCAACTTTCTTTCCCTTTTCTGTTACTATTTTATCTTTTGCAAAGCTATTCGCTCAGTGTTGTCAAATGACTGTTTAATGCTAACCACTGAGCTAACAATAATCACAGCTCTCTGTGCCGAGGCCTTAACGAAATTATTATTTTACATTCATGTCATAACCACTTCTTTCAACTTGCTCCTCTTGGGTGGTTTTCATCTCCTTCTATCTTTTTCATCTTCATCTTCCTCTGTCATGCTAGCCTCCTGTACATCCTCTCTTACCTCATCTTTAAACCACTTTTTCTGTCCTCTTCCCCCTCTGCTGGCAGTTTCACCATCAACACCATTTTCCTGGTGTACCCAGCATCTCATAACTAAACATTTTCAAACCATCATCTATATTCAAATCTTATCTTTTTGATCCTCCTTACTTCCAACACAGGTACGAATAACAAAACCCAACGAAAGTATCCTTGGGCAAGACACTGAGCCCCGAGTTGCCCCTGATGCATCGATGGATGTGTGAGGGTGTGTGTGAAGGTATAGACAAAAGCACTATGGATGTGCGTGTGACTGCATGGTGAGCTTGTACAAAAAATCACTCTGAGTGCTCAAAATTATGTAGAAAAGCACTTTATAAGTACCAGTAAATTTACCAACATAAGTAGATGTAAACGTATGTGTGGTGCTGAGTCTGAGAAGCACAGATGATTGAGAGGATGATTTTGGAAACTTAAATAAACTCCTCTGCTGAAGTAATATATTTTTCCTACATCAAAACACTGAAACAAACTTTCTGGGCAGACTTTTGCATCTTAAACAATGATGCTATTCTTTTCCTAGATGTGCTTTACCACTTTGATTTGATCCCAATAACTGGCAACAACGAGGATGAATGACCTTTTTTGTGGCGTTTGCACAGTTTTGTGCAGAGATTCTCTGAGAGTCCTGCGTTTTCCTTCTATCAAAACATACACCAGGGTGTTGCTGGATATCGTGGTCCAGGACTCCACCACAAAATGACTTTTATTACCAGGAAGCAGAGCACAACTAAAGGTATCAAAAGCCTTAAGATGACAAATCCTGCCACCGACAGAGATGATTTACTTCAAAATCTTATCGGCAATTTTTTTCCCCTCTGGCCTGCGGTGCTATTTATACATCTAGATCGGCCTCTCTTCAGTCAGTGTCACTGTTGCTGCGTAACTCCCGCGATAAACGAGGGACCACTGTATATAGTGAAATCACAACAACAGCTGCCTCGGGATGCTTTATGTTGTAAGGTAAAGATCCTACAATAATACAAAGAAAAATTCAGTCTTTGCTGTGATTTCTTCTTCACTGATGCATATAGAAGCTGCTGGGTGTTGATTCTTTCTTGGATTATAATCATCTCTTGGTCTTATCTACATTTATGAAAAGATTATTTTCATGAAACCAGGCCACAGTCCTGCCAGTTCTCTTCCGTGTGCCATCTGTTTGTCAGTGATCAGCCCAATCTCTGTAGTATCCTCTGCAAACTTTATAATGCTGGTGTTGGTCTGGGAGGTCAGACAGTCAGAAGAGGCCAGACAGTTCTGGTTCTTGATGTCTGGTTTCTAACTCTGGCTGACTGCAGTCTGTCTGACAGGAAGTTCAGCATCCAGTAAAAATGCACGAGTGGATAAAAGAGTGCATGAATGAAGAATGAGGAAAATAAATAACTGTCTGGGAAACAAGAGAAAGGATAGAATCTAAAGCTCAGAGACAGAAATTCTTTGACAAAACAACTGAAAAAAATAAGAGCTGTTCATTTTCTAATATTGAGGCATAACTTTTGAAATTGTGAGATAACATTGCATGTTTGGGTTGTAACTGTGCGAGCAGTTCAGGGAAGACATTCAGAGTAATGGCTCTGAATGGTTGGACAAAATTCATGGTATACAAACTCTTATTAAGAGTCACAGTGAACATCTACACACATGCACTCATGTTTTTTTTAACTGTGGACCTGTTGTATTGTGATTTTACCGCCTGTGTTCTTTCACATCATTAAACAGTGCAGTTGTCTAAATGTTTGCAAAATCTAATTGATATTTACTTGCTGGGAGGGCTTAACCATTCAGGACGTGTTGGAGAGCGGCATATGTGTGTGTGTGTGTGTTGCTTCTGGCACAAAGACGATTCAGACAGTAATTTGGTTTCATCCTTTATTCTGACAGAACATCAGCCCATGGGGATTTACATTAACTGATGACAAAGTAGGACCTTGCCAAATGGCAAGAAGAGAACAGTCTTCACAAAAGTTCAGTATACAAACAACTCAGTAAATGACATGCATGATAGTATAAAACCAAATACATGTTTAGGGGACAAAATACAATATAGAACTCACACTGTAATACAAACACCACTGTCCAGCACTTTTAGAGCTGTTCGACCAACACGCAACTGAAATGAAAGCCACGACAAACGTACGCAGCATTTTTAAAACGTTCTTTTTGTAAGGCTGTGCCACCCTTCACTGGACCGGAGACAGCCTCCCGAGGACGGCTGCTGAGTTTCCTTTCAGATCACGTCATGTGGACGTAATCTGAGGCTGTCGGGACAGGAGTGCTCATGTAGGCACGTACAGTTTCTCCACACGTGTTCACAATCACTGCTCTCGAAAGTTCATCAACACCTGTTGAAATTCTATATTTATATTCATGTTCTGCAAAATCAAAGGTGAATTTATATATTATTTTGCTAACTTGAGATAAAGTTTTCTACTCTGCACCTAAGCGAACAACTGATAAAAAATAGAAAGTGTAGAAATACAAATTATGATCAGAATTTACAGCACAAGAGTAATAATACAAGTAGGAATCACAATCGCACGTATAAAAAGACACATGCATCATATCCTGCATGTCCTCATCTGTCTTTGCTTTTTTTCTTCTTTTTGACGGCTCGTTCACATTCACACTGTTGGATAGAAGCCAAAAAATGTAACGTTTTGTATACTTGAAAAACAACAATACCACTATGAGCTATAAGAGCAGTGACTAGCGTATATGAAAGTTTTAGTCTGTGAATTACACAATCAACAATTTAGTAAAACAGGTTTCCAGTGACATCAAAGGCAACAGCATGGCAGAGGAAGGCTTCCTGCTACTACCAGGCATCTAGTGCACATAAAACACACAACAAAAAACATTACACAGTCTTAAAAATCAAATCATCAATAAAAGGGAGTAGAATTTGTACTGCTGTAAAACTTTCAATTCTCTGAATCTTAGCTGCAAACATTTGCACTGCCTCAGAGAAAAAATGATCCCACAGTAAACTACAGCTTTGCATACAGTTACAAAAAAACGACAGTACGTTAAAAACCAAAAAAGGGAAAGGCACTTCTCCCGTACTCTTGGAGAAAAAATAAAAACGTGAGAAAGAGGAATGAGCGAGGAGGAAAACGAGGGAGATGTTGGGCGACTTCTCTGCGCAGTCGTGGAATAAACTGCTACACTCAGTTATTTTGTGAAATGCATTTGAGCGAAGCGGGTGTACAGTTTCATCTCCCCCTGTTTTTCTTTACACCAAAACTCATCATTCAGCAAACAAGGAGGGGGGAGGAAAAAATGGGACGTTTAAAAAGCACGAGATAGTGCTGGTGTCACTTCCATCAGTGTTTCTGTTGCCATTTCATGAGTTTTATTATTTCTCAGCACCTCCAGCACTGCGCTGCAGCCGAGCTTATCAGCTGACTTAAAATTAACCTAACTAGCAAGATGAGGAGAGTTGCTGTTGCTGCATTATTGGACTTGAGGCAGCCTTAGTGAATAAAGGAAGGAGATGATGATGAAATGAACTGTCTAAACATCTTTCTCATATGAAGCCGTGCAAAACGTTCACTCGTTCTTTGTTCTCAGGGTGACACTTCTTTGTTCTATGTGAAAGAGCCGCGTCCTGCTGACAATCAGAGGAAAGGTAGCGGCACCCGCTGCACAGCGCTGCGATGCAGATCATATGACTATGTGAAATGTTAATAAATAACAACATACTATTTGTGTGTTGTTATAATCGTCAACGTCCTGGAGGACTGATTATTCCTTTTGTGCAAAGTCTCTTTTTTGTGCAAGTGTCTTTTTACCACAGTGCTGGTGGTCGTTAGGAAAGGAAAATTCAGGTCTGGGCAGCAGCTCAACCTGTCAAAGTGTGCTTGTGAAAGTGAACTACTGTAAGCTTGTAGCAAAAAAGAAAAAATGAAATGGTTTTAATGAACTGTATGTAATTTGTTTCCATTTTAAGTAATGACTAATGATTTAAATAGAATGCAGCACAAACTGCAACATTTTATTCTGGGTCTGTGTGAATGTTATTATTGTGGCTATTTATACGACACAGGCTTATGGCTTTTAGCCAGGAAGCCTATTTTTTTTTACTGTATTTTCTTTAGAAGACAACAGCTCATAGGTCGGGTACCAGAGAGCTCAGCTCATATCTGCTGCTGTTGTGTCAGCAGTGCTGTACAAACTGTATAAAGCATCCAGCCTTTGCTGCTGTTCCCCCTCTGTGAAATCGTGCCCAGCCGGCAGACAAACATGCCTCCAGCCGGCGCCCACCCTTTCTCCCCCTTGTTGTGAGACTTCTCAGCAGCTGGTGGTGTCCAGCAGCTGCTTGGCCACGGCAGCCTCTTCCTTTTCTGAGTTGGTCCTCTTAACGTGTGCGACCTTGGATGTTGCTCTCTGCCTGCGTTTGACATTAAACACATCCCACTTCTCCGGCAGCAGGCCCTTGTTGAAAATGATGGACGCCAACAATGAAACAAGGAGAATAGACATTAGAGAGATGAGCATGATGGCGGTACGGAAGGGAAAGTACTGGGTTAGCTTTCCCTCTTTGTCCAGCCGGCAGCCGGGGAACTGGATGGCTGGTGGGAGGCCAATGAGGGGCTCGCCGCTCAGGATCCTCATGACGAGCCCCATTATGTAGCCCACGATGGCGCCGTAACCGTTGGAGACCTTGAAGAAGAGGATGCAGACCAGCTGAGGGAACATTATGGTGTAGGACATGTCCACGCCGACAAGCCAGAACACCAGGACGCTACTGTCCAGGAAGGTGAGGCCGGTGCCAGCCAGACCCACGACCACCACGGAGATACGGATGACCCACTGCATCTCACAGTCTGAAGCCTGAAGGAGCAGAGGAAATGACAAGACAGACAAACAGAGTTAAATAATACATTACATAAACATGCAGCTTGTTGAGCCCTCCAAGGTGAGAGATGCACTTACAAAGACGCTGTATATCTAAGCCACTGTGCGAGACGCCAGCAGTGAACAGTCTCACTGTAGGAAACACTGGGTGTAGTTGAAATAATGAAACAGGTCGTTGCTTTCAAATAATTCTTTCTGCACAGTTAAGAACTTTTTTTCATGCTGTCTGTTTCTTTAAATGTTAATGTAAATGAAATGATTATTACTGCTTAAGTACAGATATCCTGCATAAATGGCTGCACATTGTGTTTCATGCCTTTTCAAAGGAAATTGATGATTAATCCTGGTGAATCATCATTTGTATCTCCACAGTATGCCAGAAAATTAAATCTCTTATGAAGTGAAATTGCCACCGGCACATGAAAAACAATGTTTTACGTCAACCAGTAACAGTGTTTTATCTACGCTGACCGTTATGGTGATGACATTGCAAGATGGGGGGATGTTTTTAACATCTGAGAAGCATAAATGAAGACAGTTTGCTGAATTAAAGTCAGCAAATTCAGCAAAACCAAAAGATGGTGAGCACTACAGCTGCTGATCTATGACTAACAAGATGGCATTGTCAGTTGCATTAATGAAGCCTCCTTATTGGATGATTCATCAGCATTACCGCAGTTGTCCATACCACTGGGATGATTCATTTAGGAACAAAGTGTTCTTGAGCAGCAGATGCTGACACGCCTTTTCTGGAAGATCATATTTGATCCCTAATGGAACTTTTCCTTCACATAAACAAAAATGGCATTGCATTACACCTGAAGGTGGCAGCACAATAGACCTTCAGACCAGGATCAAGTAGTAATAGGACACTGCAAACTGGTGCTGTGGTGTCGTCTCACAGTAAGAAGGTTCTAAGTTTAAATATCCCCACCACCTCTGTGCAAGGGTGGGGTTTCCTGCATAGTACCAAACCACATGCTTGTTTGGTAAACCGTCCACGGTTGATATGATGCTACGATGGCTCCAGATCCCATGACCTGGAGTTAAGATAGCTAGTTAAAAGAAAAGGATGCACAGACATTATAATGCTGCCTCAATGCAACAGAGCAGAACACACTGCTCCTTTTACAATCCGATTAGTGCTGCTAAAAACACTCACCTGCTTCCTGATGATGTTCTTGTAGATATTTGAGGAGAACAACGAGGCAGAGGATAGCAGGGCCGAGTCCATGGAGGACATGACAGCGGCAGCTACAGCCCCAATGCCAATGACAGAGACGTAGGGGGGTGTGAGGTACTGCAGAGCGATGGGGAGGATGGATCCTGCCTGGTCGCGCTCGTACGGGGTGGGCAATCCATAAGAGGTTGAGTTCCAATCTAGCAGGAAGCAGGGGAGATCAAATTTCCCCATTAAGGAGATGGACACAATCATATCAGTAAGAAATTTGTGCTAAGGTGAAAAGCTGATGAAGGAATTTTCCACAGGTGCAAGTTTAGAGGCTTTACCTGTAGATGCAGCCACAGCCCCGATCAGGACTGAGGGGATACCGAGCACCAGGCAGCAGGCCGAAGAGGCGAAGCAGGTCACTTGAGCCTGGGTGTAAGATGAGGAGGACAGGATCCTTTGGTAGAACGCCTGGTAGGCCAAACCGCCCAGAGCCTGGCACAAACACACACACAGTTCAGACACGATGACAGGAATTGGCTTGGATTGTGAAACAGGACAAGATCAATCCTGCAGTGAAGCCACTGCTGTTATTCTTGGTCAAGTTTAATTTAACTCGTTTGCTTCGCTGAAAAACAATGTTGAGTACCACTTCCACGTGTGGCTTTTATAACATTCACACTCACCAGCAGCATGAAGTCATCGAACCACTTGCCCGCCTCATCGAGCTCCACGGTGCCGACCCAAGGAGCCTGGAAAGTTGCGTTGTATGCAGTCAGCGAGATGTCCACAGAGTGAGGGTTGGTCATCATGAAAGGGACGCACACCCACTGTTTACACAAGCAAGAACACAGATGATCTGATTATTAGCTCAGCAGGGGATATTTTTCATCAGACACTGAGGACGTCAACACATTTTATTCCCCCGGGGTTTTTTATTCTGAGTGAAATACAGTCAACTAAAAACAGTCAATTCATTTGCTGTTCTGGACCTTCTTAATCACATAAAATCTTCTCTGTCTGCAGACTTAAATGGTTTAACGTTTAAGTCAACACAGACCCGAAGTTCTTTGCAGAATGGAAAATTCTGTAACCTCTGAAAACACCACTGGCAGCAGAATATTATGTGATATTAAGATCAAAGAACAGATATTAAATGGCTCGTGACGGAAGCCTACTCATCAGTTTCTAAACTTTTAAGCTTAATCAGCATTTAGGGAAAAGGTTTCAGGTCCATTTTTTGCTCATTTCCAGCTGTAGAATTGCTCGACTAGCATGCCGGTGCCACGAGGGCTGCCGGTTGTCCTTAAGTTGCCGTTGAACAAATGTGGAGATCTACCATTGCAAAGGTAGAGAATAACAACTTTTGGGGGTGTGACGTGGAGTCTTAGCGTGCAGACAGAGCCTTGACAAACATGGGGCTTCCCAACGGTGGTACATGAACGCGCCTACATAGCAGCCTTTTAGCAGTTGACAGCTGTAACATCAACAATCTTATTTGCTTATCTGGATGGCAGCCATTTTGAAAACTGAGTGATGGAAATTTCAAATAAGCTACTGAAACCAGAGCCTGGTTTAATAGCACCAGTTTGCATTGTTAATAAGCTACCTGTTGACTCTATATTGAAATCTTATCCTTCTATATTCTTTCATGCAGCAGAGCGAGTAACCTGATAGGATACATGCTTGAATAATATTTGTCTCTCAGCGGGAGCCCCTGCGTTGCCATATCAGTAGACGGTTACACACCAGGCTGATGAAGATGAGGATCAGCTGGATGACGTCTGTGTAAGCCACAGAGTAGAGCCCCCCCAGCAGTGTGTAGATTATGGCCACCACTGAGGAGATGATGATGGAGTAGACATAGGGCAGGTCCAGGATCACGCTCATGGTTCCACCTGGAACAACAGAGCAGAGCGATGAGCATCGGAGGACTGACGGACACTCGGGTGCAGATGAGTGTATCTATGTTTACATGCAGCTTCTCACTTTCGTTGTTTAATTAGATGGTTTTAGGTTCTCAGTCTCTCTTTAAATACGCTCTCTCACACACCACATCCACTCTTATTTTAAGTTCTAATGAGAAACATTGTCTGGTTATACTGTTCACATATAGAGATGCAGTATTAACACATTACTCATAAGAGCAACATTACATGTGTAGCCGTTTAACTCAGTTACGCTTAAGCATGGGTGACTTTGGTTTAAATCTTATGTTAAGCAACGCTACAACATAAAAGTGATGATGACAAAACTAACAAAAACCATAGAGGAACACAAAAGAAAGCAGCCTATTGATTGTGACTCCACTATGTTCAGGTTCACCCTCTTGTTTGGGCGAGTTAGCACCCTTTGTAATATTGATGTTTCATTTAAAAGAAAAACATTAAAGACAGAGGTGTGGAGAAGTGTGTTCTAGTGTGAAACAAGTGTAAAAAAAAAAGGAATGAAACAAGTACATTTAAACAGGTGAGTAAAAAAAAAAAAGAGAGAGATCTTGTTACTCAAACAAGACAAGCAAAAACATCACTACCTTCACCGTCTCTTCTGCCACATTGCCAGGGTCCCCCCAGCCGCAGCCTGCAGCCACACCACAACAATGCCCTTAAACAGAGAAGTGTCAGATCGGCACCATCCACCCCGCTGACCTTTCACCCCACCCACATTACAGCTACCTGACCACCCCGTCTCAACTTCCCCACTAGCTTTGCATCATTATGAACTGAGACATGAACGCTTTAGATTGACCTTTAACCCTATTTGTGTATTTTTTTGTAATATGATCCGTTTCTCTGACTTTATCAGGTTCTTATTGGAAAATGTAAACGACTGGACTAGGTGTCAACTATCTAAGACTTTGTGGCCCTGCAAAGGAAGGTTTGTTATACAGGTGTTCATTTTATTTTGCACTTAGGCTTCATTTAACGTTTTGGCATTAACTCTGAAACTGTCTGACACTTCTGCGATGGGTGGGATATGATGCAGCACAGTCACTGCATCATAAATAATTCCTGGATGGCCTGTTTTCCAGATATAGTATCAGAGCTCTTGTGCGTTCTGTGCTGAACTGTGCCTTTCCCCTCAATGCTAAATTTAGGAATAGGAAAGGTGGAATGAGAACCAGGGGCCTCTGGGGCTTAATGAACAGCACCAGGGATGGACAGGGGCAAAGAGCATCCCAAACACCCCCCCAGGTTGTTATTAGATCCTTGTCCCACTTACAAACCTCAAACATGTGTGCATGCACACACGCACGCACCGCACGCACGCACACACACACACACACACACACACACACACACACACACACACAGGCACCCCCCCCTTCCAAACTGTCCTGTTCCACATTTCTTCTTGGCAGAAATTGCACCGTGACAGTGCCGTTGATACTCCACTGCTAAGTGACAGCACATCGAAAGCATTTTCTTTTAGTTAAGCACCCACCCACCCACACACCCACCCACACACACAGAGGCACACGCTCAAGCATAAAGCAGCTCGGTTTATGCTATACATACACACATACAGTCACTCAGCAACATCGCCCCGGTGGGTCAAGCACTCTCTGGAGTATCAGGTGTTTGTGTGTGCGCGTGTGATGCGTGCACATGTGATGCGTGCACATCAGGGAGGTTTGCATAACATTTCCAAAAAAAACACTGGTGGACGTTGTTACACTGACATGTTAAGGAGGGGTGTCCCCTGATTCAATATCAGTTTGTATCTTTGGACAGAAAAAAATAAAAAGTCCCAGGAGCATTCCCGCCTCCCCACCAGTCCTTTTATGGAGCACTGGCACAGCTTAAAGTGACTCAAACAAATCTCATTAGATTTCACTGCTTCTCTTTAAATCTTTAAACTACACACAGGCATTAAACTTTAATTCAGCATGTAACAGTTACCCGTTAGTCACAACTGGCACAAACTTTGGAAAATGTCTCTAATGAAACAGCAATCTGATTGGAATAATTGATCACCTTTCACAATCAAAAGGCTGCTCGATGTCTAACCCCCTTTGCAAATAACACTGGAAAAGAAAACAACGTTAAAAAACACAAAGGAAAACATTATACACACACAAAGGCGCGCAAACACACACACACTTTTGCCTCTTCGCAAACACCCATGCACATACACACTTGCGTTCACCATCTCAGCACGTACCACACACACAGACACACGATACCATCAAATCAGTATTAACAATGTTACCAAACAAGCAGGTTAAATAAGTCACACCATTCCCATTACTTTACGAACATTTCAAAGTAAATTCAATCCATCATCAAACCTTGTATGTGAACTTTTACTCTTTAAAAAAAACCAAACAAACAAAGAGACCCTACCAGCAGGAGTGGTGAGATTTTAGATCATATGACTGATAGAAATAGAATTGTTACCTAAACATGAGTGATAATACAAAGATCCACATTAATCTTCAAATAAGTCAGGTGAACACTATGTAACAACAATAACCCAGAGCTGCAATTATTTTTAGTCACTCATCCTCATTGTGCCTATAATAAGGGACAACATTTGTCTTTGCAGAGCCGCTAGGATGACCTCACAGCCGTGCACGAGAGCAGCGTGCTTAGTTCGCTCTACATCGTTTCGTTTTTTTCGTCTTTTTGACACGGACTATTAGCAACACTGGTGTTTACATTTTTAGGCTATTAATCCTTCATTTTAGACAAGGCTTTATTTACAGCCAGCAATCAGGATGTTTACAAATGTTGCTAGCAGATACCTGTTGTAGCTAATTATTCAAGCTAAATGAGTTAGTCTGACTTTAAACTGAGTTGTATAGCTAACTAGATTATAACTAGCATGCATGCTGGTGCTAAAGTAGCATAAATAAACTGAGAAATGTTCTGTTCAGATATTCCAGGTTATAAATAGCTGGTCCTTCTAAAAAAGGCATAGTTGTTTTAAAAATGTAAAGCTTATCTACTTGTTTGACTTTTGAGATGCTAACGTATCGTCTTCTGTTAACTTTAAAACGATTGCGAACCTCAAAATTGAACCAAGAGCAGGACAAAGTGATAAGATTACTCTACCCAAAGTAGTGTACCTTATAATTCTATTTTTTGTGTGTTTTTTGTGTTTTTCACCCATTCTTTAAACTTCTTTAAGCTACGTTAACACCTGGTGAAGAAGTTACAAGCCAGCGACTGTTTACAAAGTCGGCTGTTCACTGATAACTTTTGTTTGCAGTTTTCTTATAGCATTGTTTTCTTCACCTGCTTCCTTCCTCTGAATTATTTACAGCATTCAAGCTGTTTGCCAAAAAAGCATCCACTATCCTGCTGTTTTTTCTTTTTTTACCATGTACTCTATTGGTTGCACAATTATGTGCGTACACATTATGTTGCCAGACCTTTTATAAAGTGTGAAGTAACTTACCCAGGCTGACAAGTGTGCGTGCCACCCACAGCACGTCTGCAACCAGTGCAGGAAAGATCAGTGCACTTGCAAGGACATTCCCATACTTCTTTTGGAAAGGATCCATCATTGTCACATACTTGTTCTCTCTCATTGGCTTGGCAAAGAAAAAGCCACCTGCAGGAGGAAGAAAGGGATTTAGCAACACATCTGATTACCTCCTTGAAAATGTTGTCAAGTTTAGGATACATCGTTTACATATATCTTTCATTAACGAGAGAGAAAGGAAGCGATTTAGTGGCCGAGTGAAAGAATGAACGCTTTTGAACAATAGAAAAAAACAAGTTCTCCCTCCAGATAGCATAATAAACACCTTCAGACAAACCCATGGGACCATAAGGCCAACAATGAGGCATGTTGTATTTCCTGATAAGAGGCTCCAGTTCACATTACTCTCACGATCTGTGGGCTATTGTGAAAGAGGTGTCCGAGTGCCGATGACTGAACATGTCACAAATGTGTATGGATGCCGGATGCCCTGCTGAGTTTGTCAATTTGGTGAATTCACAAGAAGGCAACCCAAGCTTAGGGGTAAACTCATCTGTTTGCACCTGTTGCCTCCAGTTAAAATACTAAACTGATTTACTACAGTACTATTTTTAACACGAGCAACACTTTTATTGGTGCAGTCAAACGGGGTCTGCAGGAAAGGGAGTTGCACGGACGGCGGTCAGTAACACTTCTGCTGCAGACAGACACTCATTTTATTAATGCATTTTACACACTGTGGATAACTTAAGGTGATTATGGTTAAAATACTAAACCTATAGCTGCTCACATCTCTATCATATTTCCATAGTTCTCTCATAGATTTCAGTTTAGACTGACTTCCTCTAACAATAGCACCTCTCGTACCCAAAGGTCATTGTACCACAGGACCTTCATTAGCTCCTCCTGGGTGTAAAATGAAGCATACAAATGTTAAACTTTCTTCTTCCAAACACTGGAGGGGGCTAAGCTGTGTTGTTAGGCTCATTAAAGCTGACATCAACTTTTTGTTTCTATTTAAAAGTCCACCCCTGGAATGTGAGGATAACAAGCACCAATCCGACCTGCACAGTTGCATCCAATCAAATGAAGCCTGAACTAAAATCATGTAAAAAATACCTGCATGACCAAACGGACACGCTTCTATTCTAATCGACCCAGAGCGTGCTTTGAGTGCTTTGTACTTGCATTGCACACGTCCTGCTGTGGCTCTCTTTGTTCTTGTTTCATAAGTGGGTTCCACTCACCTAAGAAGAAGGTCAGGACATAGGGCACAGGCATGAGTGCCCAAACTGCGCCTAGTGTTGGGTTGTATGTTGCTTCAGCTATACCCAGGATGAAGCCTCCACCAACCCATGTAGCTGCGGACGAAGAAAAACAACTCACTTGTCTTATTCATGTACCACTTTCAAAGATCAAAATTTAGTGCACTATACAAAAGACTCAGTGTATATATATCCACACCATCTGACTGCCTTACCAGTAAGTGTGAAGATACCAACTAGTAAGTTGATATTGCGTCCAGCCAGTAGAGTTATCTCCATGCCGTCTCCTGTGCATTTTTTCTCCTCCTTTTTGGAACGCAAGGATGCCCAGATGCCCGTGCCCAAGATGAGCAGGTAAAACAGCGCCATCACCACCAGGCCTGGTATATTGAGAGCCATCTTGAACTACTTTTGTGTCCTGTAGAGAGACATCAGAGGGTGGTGAAAAACTGAGTCGCCAACTGCTTCAAAAGGAAACATGCAGATGCTGCTTGCAGGTCTTTTAATTGTAAAATACAAATAAATCACATCTAATTCTCTTTTTTGTATAAATATTTGCAGGACTGTAGCGCAAGGAAGATGGGGGAGGAGCCACGTTTGCATACATTTAAAAGTCACCTGAGAAGAATCTGATAAAAACGTGCATTCATAATGTGCAGGAAGAAATTAAGCACAATGAAAAGAAAACAGAAGGATATGTTTGTATTAATGAAACCTGAGCAAAGTGCAAAGAAACTATGTGCCTCTTTAAAAAAGCAAAAAAAGGTCAGAGTTTAAAAAACCCCCCAAAAACATAAGAAAGGAGCAGTAGCATCTGAGGGCCTGGCTCTTGGTGCAAAAGGGGGGGGGGGGGGGGGGGGGCCAGATAATAAGAGGCAAGGGGCATGAAGGATGAAGAGTCAAAGAGGTGAAAGGGGTCTCACCATAACACTCGGCAGCACTGATGAAGATGGTGGACAGATGTTGTCCCCCGTCTTCAGTGGTTGAGTAGCCTGAATTTCAACCCCAAACATTGGGAAGTGAACACATCTGAGAACCACATTAATACGTGTGTGTGTGTGTGTGTGTGTGTGTGTGTGTGTGTGTGTGTGTGTGTGTGTGTGTGTGTGTGTGCAGTTACTGTGAGAGGGCATTGCACCGAAGCCTTCTTTGAAAAAAAATTAAAAACTGACTCTCACTCATAGACGCGCTAAAGTTTTATTATTGAACACATCACAGTAAAGCAGTAATGTTTCTTATTATAAACCAACTCCTTTATTTTAAACACAGCCAGTTCATTGGTTAAAAGTTTTTCATTCATAAATAATTGGTTTAAAAAAAAAAAAAAAGAAGCCTATATACACACATGAGAGAATATGTAAGAGGAAAAAAAAGAATTTTGGTGCGAGTTAAAGCTGAAAAAATAATTTCTTTTAGGAAAATGTGTTTACATGGAAGCATGGAAGGAATGAGCGAGGTGGAGACGGGCTGTGCGGGCTACTGGCTCGCTGCCAGAGTCCACTAAAGGCTCAAAAGCGCACTGACACAGCCCATGTGTTTTATTCCTCCTGTTGTTCGAGTGTGCGCGTGTGTTTGTACACACTGTTATTGCCTATACATAGCAAACATAGCTGAGTTCAAACTTCATCATTGCTACATTAAAGTGCTCATATTTTCTATGCAAAGCTGTAAAGGTTTAAGGAGAACAGAGGGCTGCAAACACAACCCTGAATAATCTGAGTCGGTGCCTCTGTACTGTGTGAGGAACACCAGGCTAGAAATACAACTCTTTCTGGCATAACAAATGTCTTATGAGTTCTTATGAGGGGCAGTACAAGCCAAAATTCATTTTTTCACTCTCACACACATACATTCTTCTTTCACACACATATACTTTCACTTTCGATAAGTGTACACAAAGAGTTGAGCGCGCATGGGCAGGAATGTTGAGAGCGCAAATACAAAAACTGAGCGAGAGGGGCTGCTATTGTGTGTGTGTCTGTGTGGATAATAGCAAAAACTGAAATACATTTTTTGCACGCAGCAATGAATTTTGTTCACTCAAATTCAGCTTTTCTTCACTCAATATAAATTTCTCCTCAAAATGCAACACTTGCACCTGCAAATATTTTTTTCATGTGCGCTCAGAATAGTGGCACAAAAATAACGCCATAAAAGACTGCCCCACTCCAGTCGAACTCCGTGTAGCTACATGGCTCGTTGAAGCTACCCGGGTGTTAGCTGGTCTAAAAAGTTCCCTCATCTCACTTTCCACCGTGCTGTGGGTAACACTGGGTGCAGTTGAGCCCGTCCCATCTCAATCAAGTGACGAGGACAACGATGTGACCGTTTCAGGAGATGATAAAATATTTCTTAACACCCTGATAGCTTGCTGAAGAACTCGAGTTTCTTCTCTCCCCTCCATGCTGTCAGACACTTGAAAGTGACCCGCGCGTGCTTCTCAGCCAATCACAGCGGTACAGACACCCAGCCTTCCGTTTCCATTAAACTCCTTCTGTTTCCACTATACTCTTTCATTCACATACATTATTCTCTTGCATACATATATTTTCTTCAGACATGTATGCATTCTCTTCTTACATACATATATTATTTGTGAGATTAAATGCATATTGAATGCATGTAAATGAGAGCAAAATGTAGGAATGCATAAATGAAAATGCATGTATGTTAGAGTGCAAATTTGTAAATATGTACATTTAAATACATGTATAAGAGAGCACAATATTGCAATGTGTGTGTTAAATATGTGTAAACATGAGAATAAAAATATCTAAATATAAAAATTAAAATAAAACTATGTGAGAGTGAAAGTATATGTGTGTGAATGAAGAATGTATGTGTGTGAGAGTGAAAGAATGAAGTTTGGCTTGTACGGCCCCTCATATTGTATGACTAACATTCAGCATGCAATAAACCTAAAACATCTGCACCATAACTAATGAAGTTTGTTTGTAGGTACTGAGCAGCATCTCAATTTGCTTAGAACTCTGTCCTTGGACATGTATGGGGTTTTATATGACTGTTTTCATATTGGGTGAAATGGAATTTGGGAAGATTTATACTAGTTAATCCTTTTCCTTAAAAAGCCAATTTTAACTGACCAGACTATTTTCTCAACCGGCTCTTTTCCTCTCAATCAGAGCATGCAAGACATTTCACAGACCGGTGAGAGGTTTGGAGTCCCTCTTTCCGAATATATGTTTACTGACCTACTTTAGAGTTGAAAAGCATCCCAGTATGTCTGCCTTGCTTACTACACAGACTTTCGTTGCCCTCTGAATATCATGGCCCTACGGACTTGGCCAGTGATGTGGATCGTCTGCCTTTTCTTAGCAAGACCGGCCACTCTCATGTTACAGACCTCTCTGGTCCAAATGCAAAAGCAAAAATTTATTATTTCACATATTTACACTTTTCACATTGACATCATTCACTCTGTTTCCTTTTTTTTTTGTTCACTGTTGAAAGCATGGACACAACACCAGCTGACTTTAGCTCGTATTTGATCCTGGATCACACTAAAATGATGTCCAACTGAAAGGATGCCAAGATATGTGTGCTGTAGGCAACTCCCAACCAGGCAACTAAACTCTGTTAAGTAAGAGGCAACAAAAAACCAGCTGGCTTTCTTTTAATAACTCCTGACAGGTCAGCTTACGCAGCACACAGTCACATGCATTTCTTTCATTTTTCTGTCATGTAACTAAAGCTCTAATAATAGCTGCTGAGCAGCATCCACTGCCCCATATGTCGGATGCTACTTGCATGTTTAGGGTCTGTATCCATACATGGACCAATAGATACTGTTGGTCTGCAATTCATTTGCTGGCTTAATTTAACTTCACATTAACTTGACATGTGTTCCCAGTCCGCTTTGCTTAAGCAGTGGACTTGGAGCATGGTTTAAGTGCAATGCGCCACTTTTGGTGCAAAGAGGGTCTACTTATTCCTATTTGTACATCTTCCAGGAGCTCTGGAGTGAAGTAATAGCTGTCTAATAGTTGGAAATGCAAAACTATTCCAACCACACTAATTCCCTTCAAACAAGCTGTAGGGAATTGTTGCATTTCCTTGCACTGAAGTCCAAGCTCACGAAAGCCTGGACTTTATCTTCTGCAGAGTAGGTACTCTAAAGTAAAAACCTCTAAAACTTTTAGGAACCACATTGGTCCTTAGATCCTCTGGTGCAGATAAAGAAAAAAAAAGCCACCTCCAACGATTACTAGAACCAGGAAATTATTACTATAGGAAAAGTACTAGAGGAACATGTTAGAACATGCTAGAGGCCTGAGATGAAGAAACCTTTTGCTAAACAAATGGTCTGCCAACAGGATTTACATCTGATATTTGTAAAGTTGCGTGTGACCTTTCTTGGTACACAAATGACACTTAATGTTAAAACTATGTGTTTCAAAAAAGATGTCTTGATATGAGAATAAATTTATTAGGCAGCTGTAAGTAACAGTTTATTTATACTAAGATTTTGAGAGTTCTCTCGCCAAAGCAACTTATAATCAACTTTTATCATCAGATGTTTGCTATATAGAGAGCTAAAAGCCATACAAGGCTAAAACTGGCCTTTGCTGTTAAAGCTAAACTAATTCATATGCATGACTACAAAGGGGGTTGGGGGGGATTAGCATTGTTGCCCCACAGCCAGAAGGTCCTGAGTTCAATTCCACCATCAGGCCAGGGACTTTCTGTGTGGACTTTGTATGTTCTCCTCGTGTTTGTGTGGGTTCTCTCCGGGTACTACTGTTTCCTCCCATAGTGGGGACTAAATTGCCCATGAGTGTGAATGGTTGTTTTTTTTAATGTGACAGACTGGTGATCTGTCCAGGGTGCAACCTGCCTCTCGCTCCCTGCCACCCTGAAAAGGATAAGTGGAAGAGAATGGATGGATGAACTTAAAAAAATAAAAATTAAATATTAAATCCTTCAGACTGCAAACTGGTCTCTCTGTCACTATTATTGTATTACATAGGCTAAACATTCATTTATCATTGGCTTGAATACTTTCAAGGCAAGGTCTATAGAGAAGCCTATTACTTTCATGCCTCATTGAGAAACCACTCTAATGACCCTTTTCACACAATGAACGGCATTCATCATTTTATATCGGCATCGAGCCCTTCTGCTATAAATGTAACGTCAGCAGGCTGCCGACTCATCACTGGTAACTCATTACTGTTGCTACCTGGTCTAAGTGTGAATACAACGCAGACATGAGTGTTACTGTAAGGTGACCTTGAGGGTCTGAAAGGCGCCTATAAATAAAATGTATTATTATTATTATTATTATTATTATTATTATTATTATTATTATTATTATTATTAGGGCCTGTAGCTGTCAGTGCAGTGTATCTATACACACATTAATCTGTTATTAGTTTACATACAACACAATCACATCTTCAAAGTTGGATATACTTTGTAGTCGTGTTTTCTCTTCTTTATGGTGTAAACCAAAAGCAGAAAAGAAATCCACTTACAAGTCACCAAAAATTCCCATTTGATTAGTGTCAGCTTACAGAAATACAGAAAGAAGCGTTAAACAGATGAACTGCTGTGCTGCTGAACAGCCGTTTGATATGTCGACACTCATTTTTCCAAGCAAACAGCAACCAAACCTGAAAAACCTGTTGCGTTTTAAAAACACAAATTTCCGTTCAACGTTATTTTATGTCTCATTTCAACTAAATTAAAATGACACAACTTTTTAAATTTAGTTGTCACACAGCAGAAAACAACAACAACAAACATTTAACACTCACAGCAGATTTACTGCAGGTCGGGCATCTCACGATACATCAGCGCTTTGTCGTGAGCTAAATGCAGCGGGTTCAGCTGACACAGAGCAGACCTGTTGCTGCCTTTTTTTTCTTTCTGTTTTTCTGTTTTGTTTGGGTTTTTTTTTTTTTTGGTCCAACATTGTTTTACATTCTCGTGTGCAGACGCCTGTCACAGTGGCATTTTTCGCATGCCTCCGCCTTCCGTCCCCATCGCAGACACCAATACACGCATCTAATTTGTCAGCCTCTCAGTACTTTTCCGTCACACTGGCTCTCCAGCGCGCTCTGGGTTTGCTGCCTTTCGCTCCTACGTCCCCACCCCCGTGTGACTTTGTGATGCTGAGCGAGAGAGTGCTTACGGATATTACCGGCGTAAAATTATTTATCTTAAAAGCGGATACAGCGCTTAGAATGCAGCTGCAAAGTAATATCAGAACACAGACGTGGCATGAGGCTCAAGAGTCAATCCAGCGAGGACAACTTTGACTGAGATAATATAGGAACAACTTGGATGATTAAAGGCTTAGAGGAAGAGAAGACAGGGAAGACCAAATAAGTAAAATTGCACGTAATGCGGACTGCCTATTAAAGCAGCCCACACACATCGTTATTACAGTATAAATCCCCATAACACTTTCTTCTATGAAACACCACATCAGCATTAAAAATTAATTCAAAGTCATCACACTCTGACACTACGCTAGAACCCGGCATCGTTCCAGTTTCTCCCACTTCTCTATTTCGCGATCAAACACACTAGAAAATTGCAGCTTAGAGATATGCTTCATCAGTCACACAAAACAAACCAGAGAGCCAATTTGGCTCTGCAGCGGAGGTCCCCGGTGCTATTTCTAGGCACCGGCATGCACTCCACTAAGTGTGTCCCAACTTGACTGAGTTTGAACAACTTTACAAAAAGTCTGCACGCGGACTGGACACGGACACAATAACATGTGGAATTTTAGGGGATGTCAAAAAGTCTTCAGAAAGTAACACAAGGTGGCAACAAAGAAAAACAAATACACATGCGAGCATATTCAGTGACTGAATACATACCTGAAGTGCACAGTACGACTCAGTTATAGTGATGAAGAGGGAACAGAGGCGTTTCTCACAGACCAGGTGTTAAACTCAGTCCACGATGACACTAGTCCACAGTGCTGAGGGAATGAGAGACTACCAGAAAATGTAACGAAAGTTCTTTTAAATGAAAGTAAAGAAAAATCTATCTGAAAAAAAGAAGCTGAGAAGAAAGAGGTGAGTCAGAGATGATGTTCAAAGAGAGGCTAGGGCCACCGCAGAAGGATGGAAGTCTAGAATCAGCAGCCAGACTTCCCCTGATTTTAAAGCTCACGGGGTGGGAGGGGTTAGGCACAACACACAGGAGAGGGAAGCTGCCGCTAGTGCTACCTGATTGGCGACTTGGCCCCCTGGTTCTGTCTGCAGCCAATTAGTAGTGCTCAGAATCTAGGGGCAGAGCAGACCCCTCCTTAGCTTTGGCCCACATGAGGATGGTTTTGGGTGTGGGTTGGCACTGCCACATCCAGATGCTCATTATGGCTTATTAACCCCCCCCCCCCCCCACACACACACACACACCCCCCTTTACCCCTCACTGACTACCCCCCCAACCCTTCTCAAAAACTTTATCATCTCCCATCCACTTCTCCTTTTCTGTCTCTAACTGTATCTGTCTGCCACCTACCTGCAGCCAAGGCAGCTGTGCACCCAGCCTGATGGATGCAGTACCAGGATCCTCTCTGTCCTTCAACATGAAGACAAATATAACCTCTGTCTGTGTGCTGTTTTTCCCTCTCTCTTTGGTTTCATTGGTGTGCTAATGTGTGCCCAGTACTTTCATAAAGTAGTGCTTGTTCTGTCCCATATGTTTTAGTTTATCAAGTAATTAGTAAAAAAAAAATGCTGGTGTGTTTTCAGACTGCTTTCACATATTCTCACATCAGTGGTGGAAGCAGAAACGATTTCACATTCAATAAACCTGATATATGTCTGGATTCTTGTCATGTTTTACAGCAGGGGTGGTGGAACTCCAGGCCTCAAGGGCCGGTGTCCTGCAGGTTTTAGATGTGTCCTTGATCCAACACAGCTGACTCAAATGGCTAAATTACGTCCTCAACATGTCTTGAAGTTCTCCAGAGACCTGGTAATGAACTAACTGTTTGATTCAGATGTGTTGACCCAGGGTGAGATCTAAAACTTGCAGGACACCGGCCCTTAAGGCCTGGAGTTCCCCACCCCTGCTTTACAGGAACTCTGCAGAAAGGGTGATGGCAGCTAGTCATCGTTCTCCAGAGTAAACAAATATATTATGTGGAAACCTCCCTCACATGAATATGAACTTTTTAAAATCACAACTGTGCCATTACAGCCTAATAAAAATGTCTGTATGAGCATAGATTGTTAAACTACAAAATAGCATCATTTTTTCACACCTAATGAAAAGAGAAAAAAAAACCTTCCTCATTGAGGAGGCGAAAAAAATAAATCTCATTTTTTACTACAGGACGTTTCAGTAAAACTACGTTTTTTGTCCTTCTTTGCTTTGTCACTCTTGGATTCAAATCAACAAAGACCAGCTGTGCATGTCTGAGGTGACACTGTGCCTTTACGAGTCTTCCCCCTTCCATCCTGGAAGTTCAGTAACTCTTTGAATGTGTCGCTGCATGCAAATGCACAGTCACCCTGCCTTACATGCCGGTTTAGATCAGACTTGACTGATCCCCCACAGGGCAAATTAAAATTTTCCCCTGGCTCAAGGAAGGAAAGAGACAGAGAGAACACTGTATGCACCCACCACTTAAATATGACATGCAGCAGTAATATACACATAGTTTGTAGATTATTGTGAAGGAAACTTAATACACTGTTTCTGATCACAAAGACTTTGCACTTCAGGCTCATTTAAACCCTTTTCATTCATAATCGAGATCCAGAATCCACAGATCTGTTGCTCGAATTTTATTTTGTAAGATTTATTTTCTGCTTTTTAGGCCCTTATTTACCATGATAGTGTAGAACAGATATGAGGGTGGGGGTAGAGAGCCAGAGTGGATGAATGACACAGCAAATGTCCTGAGGCAGACTCAAACACAGGCTGCTATAGTTCACACCAAAACTTTGCAGTTATTTTTAACATTCAGTTCTTGCTAACCAGGTAGCCACAGCTCTTCTTGTCCTGTGTTTTCCTACTGGCAGGTATAACACAGGGTGCTGTTGTCCTGTCCTGGAGTCTTTAGCACCTAACTCTGCCATCTCAGACCACAGCTGGACATGGTAATACTCGTGCTCTGGAGTGCATACACCACCTTCTGCTCAGTTACAAATCCATTTTTTGTAGAGTGTAAAATCACAGTATTGGTATACACTCACTCTCTTAACCTTTAATTTATAGATCTTCACTTCTGTGGGCCTGAAGTGATCATCCATCCATCTATGATCTAACAGATGTCCTTTTCCAGTTCCTCCTTGGGGATTCCCAGGCCAGATAAGATTATGAGATCTTTTAAGTGAGTTTTGAGTCTACCCTGTGGTCCTGCCAGAGTTAGGCATGCCTAGAAGACCTCCAAAGGGAAGTGCTCAGGACGCATTTTAACCAAATGCCCAAACCTCCTCAATTGGCTCCTTTCAAAATAGAGGAGCAGCAGTTCTCAAGTTCACTGCGGATATCAGAGGTCTTTACCCTATCTCAAAGGCTGTCCTTTAACCCTTTCCTTATTTCAACCTCTGAAATGGGGAAATTTCAGTAAGATAGTGAATGCGAGCAGCTAAAATGAGGAAACTTATTTTAGCCACTTGTTTTCACTATCTTACTCTTATTACCCAGATCACATGCTATTTTTTTTTTGGTCAAGGCCGGACCACCACTTGCTGTCAAGCTTCCCTTGAGACTGGATCTGGGGTTGTCACTCTCCAGTAAGGGTATCCAGCACTAGGGATGGGTACCGGTATCCGGTGCCATTATGGCACGGTTCTGACATAAATGGTAGTAACCAGACCGAAAAGCAGCGCACATTTTGGTGCTTTATTTTGGTGCTTTTTTTCCCCTGAGATGTCATACACTTTGGATTCTAGCCAATCATTTTACCTTTGCAAGCGTAGTAGGCGGGCCCAGGTACGTACGTTCTTTTAGAGCAGAGCTGCAGATTAAAAATGCCCAAGGCGAAGTGGTCAAAAGTCTAGCTGTACTTCACAGCAAAAGATGCAAATTCAGCAGCCTGCAACAAGTGCTTTAAGCTGATACTGTGCAAAGGAGCTAACTCCTCGAATCTGATGAAACACCTGGCGACGCATAGCGTTTTTTTAAAAGCTGAGAAATGTACTGTATTTGATAGCTTGCTGCAAGACCGAGCACCGAGCACATCTACTGCGGGTGTGGTGCCTGTTATCAACCCCCCCCAAGAACCCGAAGAGTAGAGTCCTGGCCCCTAGCCCTGCCAGTGTAGCAGAAATGATGACGGATGATGATGCAGCAGCAGCAGTTATTAAATTAACGCATGTAAGGTGAACTAGCAAACACCGTCGTAGTTACATGCAGCTGTCTTCTTGTTTGATAGAGTGATACGATATATGCCCTATAGCTGCAGAAAAGGCTAACATTGTTAGAAAAAAAACAGCTAAACATGAGAGGTTTTAGGACAAAGTTTGTGTTTTCCATTGTTTAAGCACCGGTTCGAGCACCATTTAAGCACCGGCACCGTTTCAAAAGTACTGGTTTGGCACCAGTATCGGATAAAACCTAAACGATACCCATCCCTATCCAGCACCAAAACTTTCTACTTCATTAGTTTTTTTAATTTTTTAATTTCATGTCTGTTTCCTCCCCCAAGAATAATCTGTGTCAGGAGAATCTGGCAGGCCCTATTGGCTCAGACAACACAGCTCCCACATCACATGGACATGTAAATCCCTCCACCATGATACGGTGGCGATTCACTGTGGGGAGGGGGGATAGGGGGAAAAATTGCCACTCCCCCAAGCTCACCCCCGCAGCCCCGAGTATGATGGCTCCATTGTGTTAAATAAACATGATCCTTGCTGTGTTGTCAGGGCGCTAATGGTGTGAAATGAATCTGTGTCTGGTTGATATGGAAACAGCAGGGAGTACAAGTTTGATGTGGTTGAATATTAAAATCCTTTCTATTGTTTCATCAGGTGAGAACTTAGAGCCATCAGTATGAATTTGGAGTTGGGCTCCCTGGGGTACACAGTCTTCTGTATTGCAGCAACCTTCAGGTAGTTTTCCGTAGGACTGGAACTTTCTGCAGACAAAAGAGATAGAATTAAATTTTTGAGTCGCAGTAATGGCGAGCAAACAGCTGCTAGCTTACCTGCTGTTGACAGTGAGTAAATACCTAAACTATTAGGGGACAGACTGAAGTGTTTCTAGGGCTAAGTCAAGGCTGTCAACCTTTGTGCAAACTGTGATTTAATGATTTAAATGCAAAATCATGTATGCATATATAAACTGTACCTACAAATGAGCAATGCAGTAAATGCAACACCAAAGTGCCTTATATATGCATTCCTTTAATATCCAGCAGGGGGCGACTCCTGTTATAATGACCATTCTACAGAGATCTGTGGGAAAATCGCCCATGGCTTCCTCGTTCTATGCATTAGGTTTTCTACAGATTACGACCCCCATTAGAGCTGTAATAAAGGAGGGTAAACGTTCTCATTGGCAAATATGAGTGTACAGTTTCCTTCAGTTTCAGTTGCCTCACCATTCACACTGGGTAAGTCCACCATTCATGGACAGTTGAGAGTGACCTGCTTGCAGACACAAGCCTCTAGCCCAGCTGTGAGGTGCATGACCTGAATAATGAGAGAATCAGTTTGAACATTAACATTAAGGTACATGACTTTTGACCTTTTGGTTTTAGGCTCCAGACCTCCTGCAACACTGAAATGGGTAAGCAGTTAAGAAAAAGGATTTAGGTTTCAGGAAACAACAGCATATCAGAGGTTCTCACCCTATCTTTAAAAAATGTCTCTCAAGGCTTCAGAGCTTCTCCTTTATAAATGTTAAACGGGCTTTCACCTTCTGCACACAAAACAGTCAGAAGATCCCCATTTCCCATTTTTCAGCACTAACACTGATCCACCAACATCACAGTGAGTCTAAAAGACAGTTAGCGTGCCTTTACTTGCCAGAGGCACACACACAGCCTTCTCCCTATCACCAAGCACCTTTCATGTACATGTTGACCTTGAACTCATTCATGTTGCTCTACAATTTCACACCCCTTACAGACATGTCAAAGATAGAGCTTTACATGGTAAAGACCCAACAGCAATACTGGTAAGCCGT